AATGATGAGGATTTGGTTTTTAATTGCATGACTATTAAAGAAAGTTACAAACACGGATGGAAGTTTGATATGCTCTTTGGTTTATACTTAGTTGTAGTTGACATTTACGAATTCACATGTAATCACAAAAGAAAAAAATCAGTTTTTGTAACATGCTTGAAGAAAGAAACTCAAACTAACGCTACAACCCTGAGAGACTTGAGCCTAAACGTTCTTTGGAGAGTTATTAATCTTGATTTCTTGTTTTCTAAAGTCGTTGCATGATCTCATTATTCTTTGCTTGGTTGCTACTTAGAATGCGTTTTATCACTATAGTTCCAAATACTAGAACTCATACCCGTTTCATTCAAAGCATGAAATTGATTAGCATAGCAAATAACAAGATGAAGTTGTTTAGTAGTCACCACCATAGCCAAATAGCCGAATCCACCCTTGTCATTTGTATTGTAGGATTAAACCCCTTTGAGCCTTATTCAGCCTAATTTCTTTGTTAACCAAATCACCCTTACCTAGCATAGAATAGGACTTTCCCATACCGTTGTTCTTGAAGTATAGTGGAGCATGACTTAGAACGAATTCTTTTTTAATGACATTATTGCAGAAAACAAGTGTGGGGGAAGGGATTCTTGTGTGTATGTGTGCCTAAGTCTTAAAGGAGGCACGGGAAAAAAAAAATGTGTGAAAAAGAAGAAAAAGAAGAAGAAAAGAAAGAAAATGAGTGAAAATAAATGAGAATGAACTCACAAGCGTTAATTGTTGAAGAAATGGTCCAAAAAATTGAATATGGCCCTAAGTTTTTGTGACTTCCCCTTAGGTGTTCAAAGTTGATTTATGCATTCTAAAGGGAATTCTAAGTGCCTAATTCATTACTTTGCTCACTATTGCTTTAAGAACGTTTGTTTCCTCTACCTTTCCTTGTTAGCCAATACCTTAGCCCCATTACAACCCTTAGACTTCTATCTTGATTGCTATGTGTTTCAATATGTGGAGTTTAAAATGGATTTGAGCATATGGTATCCCTGGTTCTCGCGTCTAAGTAGTGGCATTTCATTCATGAGATCATATATATACATGCATTAATAATTCCAGAAAGTGCTTTCTTTCATTATACATATGTGAGTGGCTCGTCTACATGTTTACATCAATCTTCTCACATATACCTAGTGTAGAGAGTAGTTAGAAAATATGTGTGAAAATAGAGAGTATATCTTGTGAGGAATTGAGGGATTCTCTAAGGCATGTTACTACATTCAAAATCATGTTTTAATTGATGAAATGAGAGCTAGTGAGTGGTAACTATGATTAAGTATGTGCTCGAGAGTAGGGATAATTAAAATCTATGGGAGTGATGATCATTAATATGTCATGGTGTATTGGAAATCCCTGAGGTAATGTTGAAAGGTTTAGGTTGTGTTTTGTTTGTTTTGTTTATTTCATTTTGCTCGAGGACTAGCAAAAGCTAAGTGTGGGGGAGTTTGATAAGAGCATATTTATGCTACTTAGTTATGTTATTTCCTTACATTTAGTGAGCTAATTACTACTTATTATAGTGTTTTGAGTTATTTTCGTTTGTTTGTAGGTCCTAATGACAAACATGGCAAGAAAAGGCAATTTTGAGCCTTTTAGAGCAGTTTTGGGCTTATTTTGGATAGCTTGTATATGGAGCAACATTGATGGACGAATTTGGAGTCAAAAGAGGTTAGAAACATGCTACAAATCAGAAAAGGAAAGTTCATGACAAAGAAGATAAGGAAAGTGCAAGAAAAGAGAAAACATTATCCAAAACCTTATCCAACCTTATCTTATCCAAACATTATCTTATTTTATCCTAACCTAATCTTATTCCACCTTAATCCTAGCTGCAAGTGGACCTAAAAACCTAATTTCTAGAAGCCCTATCTGACCCTAAAAGGGTGCCACACCTTCCCCCCCTTTTATGCCTTCTAGAACATCCAAAATCAGCCATAAAACACTTAGTTTCTAGAAGGCCCAATTTTGGACGAAAATTCTTAAACCTATTTCTGATTGGATTCTGATTTTATTTGGCCCTTTTTCTCTTGGATTTGGATTGTATAAGTCCATATCTGAGATTGATTGTGCTAGGACTTAATTCCCAAACCCTTGCCGCAACCTAGGGGCCCTAAACACTTATATTGGTTAGGTTTAACCCTAAATCTGATTGCTAGGGTTTTGCCATGCTATATATATATAAAACTTAAAGTTGCCGCACCCTTTAGACACCTTAGGCAGCCATTCAATATTCAATTCATTCATCCATTAACATCCGCCACCATTCATTCAGAAAACACATCTTGTGCCGCAAGTCCTAAGGAGAAGAAGAAGCACCGTGGCTTCCATATGAGAAAGACCATCTTGTGCCGCAAGAAATCTGCATCCATTGGAGACTTTCAGAGTTCTTTCTTCCCTTGTTTCGTTTCCATGTTTATTTTAATTTGCTTTTCAATTGTTATGAATATGTGTAACTAAGTTTTTCTTAGTTAGGGGTGAATTCGAAACCATGGGCATATGTTTTATATGAATTGATTTCCTCCAGATTTTGTTTCTTGAATTGTGGATGTGATTTACTTAATTGATTTATTGAGAACTTGTTCTTGTGTGTTGATTAAGGATGCATACTTAGTTTTCATACATGAATTTGATGCTAGGATATAAGGAAATTTCACCTAATCGTTATGACCTTATATTCATAAGTAGTGGAAATCACTAGTCATGATTGTATTAAGTAAATTCTAGGCAAGAGTATCATGTAATTCATAGTTACAAATGCCTAGTCAATACTTAGGATTTTCAAAAAACTTAATGATCTTTGATTTTATCTCTATTATGCAGTTCATGTAGGGAATTTGATAAGAATAATTTAATTGTCGATGCGTATTCCATCAAATTCAATGAAACTAGGAAAATCTGAAAGTTAATTTGTGTTTTTCACAATTAATTTGAGGCATTGTCATTCATGGTTTAAAAATGATAAAATTTGGAAATCAATTTATGTTACATATGTGCATGTGTGGAGAAGAACCCCCTAACTAGCCTTTTTCCCATTCAATTCACCTAATTTAGTGCCTAATCTGTTTAGTTTACAATTTGTCCATTTTAATTAATTTCGTCCAAATCACCCTTTAGAGTCTAGTTTGAGTCTATTTGAGTGTTTTGGGCTGTTTTGAGTCTTTTTACGTTGTTTTGAGTCATAAAGGTCTAGGTAAGTGTTTTAAAGTTTAATTCTGTGTTTTTTAAGTCAGTTTAGCATAGATTAGCATCCCTAGTTAATCCCCGGTTAGAACGATCCCTACTTGCATATATACTACAATTGTCACAAATAGGGTTTAATTTGTGTGTCAACATAATTTTCACACCAAGGGGTTATCACTGTTAGAGAGGTAATAGTTTTGGGAAGCTTGGTTTTATTGCTGACTCACACTTTCTGTTTTGTACCCCTTCAGATTTTAACTACTGAGTTTGTATCGACGAGGATATATGGCTAATCTTAGTATTGGTGGCTACTTTTAAGGGTATGATTTTTACCCACACTACTTTACTTTACTTATGCTCTGACATCGCGTGTGAAATGGGTTCGCTCCCACTCGTAGTGTCACATCCCGGCTCGGGCGGGACCACTTCCCGGGCCCGCTCCACCACCGTAGCACGATATTGTCCGCTTTGGGCCCCGACCACGCCCTCACGGTTTTGTTTCTGGGAGCTCACACGAGAACTTCCCGATGGGTCACCCATTCTGGGAGTGCTCTCGCGCGCTACTCACTTAACTTCGGAGTTCCTACGGAACCCGAAGCCAGTGAGCTCCCAAAAGGCCTCGTGCTAAGTAGGGATGGGAATATACATTTAAGGATCACTCCCCTAGGCGATGTGGGATGTCACAATCCACTCCCCTTAGGGGCCCGACGTCCTCGTCGGCACACCACGACCAGGGTTAGGCTCTGATACCAAATTGTCACATCCCGGCCCGGGCGGGACCACTTCCCGGGCCCGCTCCACCACCGTAGCACGATATTGTCCGCTTTGGGCCCCGACCACGTCCTCACGGTTTTGTTTCTGGGAACTCACACGAGAACTTCTCGATGGGTCACCCATCCTGGGAGTGCTCTCGCGCGCTACTCGCTTAACTTCGGAGTTCCTACGGAACCCGAAACCAGTGAGCTCCCAAAAGGCCTCGTGCTAAGTAGGGATGAGAATATACATTTAAGGATCACTCCCCTGGGCGATGTGGGATGTCACACGTAGCGCACTCTGGTATTTAGACACTTTTAGGTTCAAATTTATTCATATTTTATACATTACCACACTTTATGGCTTCGTCACATTCCAGGTGTTGGCCAACACAGCTCGATTTGAGATCCTAGTGAACATCCCAGGTTCGGGTGTGTCATTTTGTCTCATCTTGAAGAGAACAAGAAGTAACCATGCTAAATTGCCTAATGTCACAGACTTAAATATTTATTGTTGTGTTCATACCTTCAAAGTATCCAAACAGAGTACATGAAGTTATTAAATTTAATTTTTTTTTTAAATGAGAAGAACAACACCGATAAATTCTTAATACAGAGAGCTAAATAAATATATGTCTAAGCTTGTAGGGGTTTTGTAAATTTGATCTAATAGATGTAGAATTTAGGTTTGAAAGTAAATAGATGTATATCTTTCAAACTGCAGTATCATATTGATTAATGTGAACAAAAGTATAAAAAAAAATTAAAATATATGAAATTGAGGACTTACTTGGATTGAGAATTTATGTAATGTCAGTTCACTGCTGTACTTTCATGAACAAAATATAGGGTTAATTTTATACAATTTAAGACAGTGGAGAGATAAATTGGTACATCATTTCCCAAAATGTCATGAAATGATGTTTAAAGATTATAAAACTATGCAAAAATATCACAAACTGCACACCATGTGTATTAAGAGGATGGGCAAATTTTATAAAACTTATCACCAAATGAAAATAATAGTGTGAAGTTTGATTAAAAATCAGAAACTGCAAACCATGCATATTAAGAGGATGGATCAAATTTAGCTAAATAGGTTGCTCTCTGCAATATAGAGATGTTTTTTATGCTCCATTATTCGGAAGAAAAATACAGATTTCCATCTTTTCTCCTGATAGGAATTAACTATCAGCAATTTATATACAAACTTTATTATTTGACCTATCCTAAATGTATAGCCAATGTAACATCCCTCATCAACCAACGGAGAGGAGATGGTGTGCCTTATATGTACATGCCCACCTCCATATAGCACGAGGTCTTTTAAGAACTCACTGACTTCGGATTCCATCAGAACTCTGAAGTTGAGCGAATTCAGGTGAAAGCATTCCTAGGATGGGTGACCCGCTAGGACGTTCTCATGTGAGTTCCCAGAAACAAAACCGTGAGGGAATGGTAAGCTCAAAACGGACAATATCGTGCTATAGCGGAGCCGAGACTGGGATGTGACATCCAATTTTTTATCTATGCATTGAAAGGTTTAAGATAAACATGGAATAGTATGAGTACAAATGCTCCCACCAAAGATCCACCCTCTCCACATGCTTTAACTTAGTGAAAGAATACATTAGGTGTAGAAGAATTATTAAATCTAATCAATGACTAACAGGAACGGTGCATGGATAGATTTAACAATTCTTCTATTGGTAAGATGTTCCTTAGCTTAATTAAAGCATGTGGAGTTGGCATATCTCTAGTGGGGACGTTTATACTTAAGACTTTTTTATGTTTAACTTAACCTCTCAATGTGTAGGCAAGGAATTGGCCATGTATTTAGATTAGATAAATAGAAGATAGTCTGTATAAATTAGTAGTAACTAATTCCCTTGAGGAGAAAGGTCAGTAAATATTGGATTTAAATGTAGAATAGTAATGAAAAAAAAGTAACAAAACGTTAATTTATTTTACATACTGTTGGATCCTTGTATTTACATGTTTTTGAAACCTATTTGTTTAAGTTATGACATACCTGTTGCATTAGTGACTTCTGTTCTTTTTCTTCAAATTATTAAACAAACCTTTTAACTGATTAACCATACCTGGAAACCAATTTTACAAACTTCATTTATTTTATTTTATTTTTGAACAATCGATATTATCTACACTAAGGGGGAGGGGTGAGCTTAGCCTCACAATGGGCTAGCAATAGTGTGGTTCAAATTCACCTTTGGCGAAAATCGAACCTAAGATCTCTCACTTACGAACTTCATTTATTAAATATGATTAAATACAATTATTTCAGTAAAGTAAGCAATTCGAAACAACACAGAGTTAAAGACAATGGGTGATGTAATGGTTAAAAACTATGTAAACCATGTAGATATATAAAAATTGAGCACTTACTTAAGTTGAAGGTTGAGAATGCTTTTAGTAGCAGGAAAAGTATCGTTAGATTGAGTTTGCTGTGATGATTATCTTCTCTGTAGAAAGCAGTATCAGATGAAAGTTGAAAAAAATGTAAGGTCATGTTATATTTGCTGAGAATAAAAGTAGTATTAGTGAAACGGATGTCAAAATTTAACAACCTACAAAACATTTTACTGAATTAACAAAACTCGAAATACCCTCATCGTTAACCAAACACATATAAGCTTTGCCATGCAAAACAAATTTTATGCATCTGTTTATTTAAATAAGAGTTAACAGCTCCTTGTCCACATTATCTTTCCAGTAATACCTAATTATCAAAAAATTAGAACCAAACAGATTGTTTATTATTGACCTGCTATATATATTACTTTGCAACCACCATAGAACACTATTTGACAACGAAAGAAAATGAAATGCCTCATCATTGAGAAAAATTGATAGCATGAATGTTCTTGATCCTTAATAAAAAAAAGTACTAATTTTCAGAAAGGTAATTGAATCACATACCTTAATTCAGTAGTTACATGATTGATTAACTTAAGTAAATATATGGTTGAATTCATAATTAAGCTTTAATTAGTCACTCAAGCTTTTAAACCTCTGTTAAAGCTTCAAGCAATCTTAAATACTTTCCTTTTCAAACCCTTTTTTGTCTCTGTCCATTGATCTAAACAAAACTTTAATTAAGCATTCAAGCTTTTAAACCTCTGTCAAACCCTTAAGTAATGTTAAATACTTTGCTTTTAAAGCTTTTTGGTTTCTGGACATTGATTTAAACCAATAACGAAAACAACTCTAAAAAATAAATGGAAAACAAATTGAGGCTCTTTTGTTAAAGAACGATTAGAATCTGAAACCACAACAGATACCAATCAGAAGCATAGTGAAAAACGGCATCAACTCAACGCGCAACGCATTAACTCAAGACACAACCAAATTATCAGGCTTTCTTTCAAACAAATACAATTTTGCAGCAAAAAATTATACACACGGTAAACCAATTTGTTACAGCCAGCATAAACACAACAGAGAACCAAATTGCCACAGTTTTTTTCAAACAAATATAATTGGGAAGTAAAAAATTACAGAGAGAGAAAACCAATTTTCAGGGTTTCTTTCAAACAAATACAAACTGAGAATCGAAAATTACACGTAGTTGTTTTAAAACATACTCAAGTTCAATATAATTTCTTTGTCAATAATCTGAAGAGGCAGCATGCGATTAGTCACCAATTTCACAAAAAAATTGTCCCAACCTGCAGATCCGCAGCAAAAACAAAAACAAAGACCTTAAATTTCTTGGCCTAGAGATAGCAAAATGAGGATAAAACATTGAGAACAAACTAACCTTGAAGTTCTTGCCCCGACGATCGCAAGATGAGAACAAAACGCCGAACAACAAAGGATTCAATACGGGAGAGACTGGAAACTAAATCCAAAAAAAAAAAAAAAAAATCAAACGTAGGATCTCTTGCGAGACTATTTTCCGAAAGACAAAGAAAGGATTTGAGAGCAAAAGACGGGCTGACGAAGAGGGAGAAAATCGCAGACTAATGAAGGTGAAAAACGAAGGGGAAGGGTAAAGCAAAAAGATGCGGTCGAAGCAGCGAAACAAACGATGAAATACCCGTGCCTGGGAAGGGCGTAACCAACTTTCCACTGTAGAAAAGTGGAAACAGTACTCAGAGCAATGAAGAAACCGAGGGCATTGTCCCCCTTTCACTATTAATAAACAATGTCAGAAAATTAGGTTTTAATATATGTATATAATTTTCCTCGAATGATTTTCTTTAAAACTTGAAAACTTTGACTTAAGGAGTTTAGGTTGGAATTTAATTTGTGATGTTACCATCAATTTAAGGTCTCATTCTAAACCCTAATTACTTTGAGAACCAGTTCAAGTGAAACTTGAGGAAGAAATGGTTTCTTCTCACTTATTAACACTTTGTTCGTGAACTTTGAAAAAATTGGTAGATAGTTTGCAATGGCTTTATCATTCGTTCTTGTTATAGAGAAATAATCGATTGTCTTCTTATCCATTACCCATTTGACTTCGCTACCTTGTTTGTTGTTTGCTTCATATGTTCATAGCAGTTATCATTGTCTGTTTTTTTTTTTTTTTTTTCCTGAGTTGGCTTGTTTTAAAGCTCAACTTCAAAAGGCAAGGTAATACCCTCAAAAGCTTGCAATTTGGAAAGAGTGAGTTGATGAAACTGGGGAAGGAGAAGCTTTAGAGTTAGCTTTTCATGGGAAAAGTGAAAACTTATGTTCTTATGTTATTTGATTCTTATAAACCCATATAATTCATCCAAATATATAGCCATTCAAAACCATAGGTCTATAGCCCACCAATTATCCAGCACTCAGCTCGCACACCCAACCATTTAAATGCCCACAGGTTTAGTACTGCTACTCGGTTTCTTATGTTACTGTTGTCCCTAAAAATTACAAAACCTACGTGGCACGCAGACCGAGTAACTAATAGGCTAACTAAGTCATTCGGTTGAATGCGGGGCGTGCCGAGCTCGGCCAAGGAGTAAAATTCGTTGTTGTCGCGTTGAGTGCGTTGCTGACTTCTTAATCTTGCGACTGCGACCGAGGAAGGAACACTCTCGGTCTTTGGGTTCTAGAGCCTGAAGACGAGGTTGTTAGTTCTGCGAAGTTCACAAATCGTCAATGCCTGATTCGGTCACCGTGATTATGTTCGTAAGAGTATAAGCACGTCGAATCGACACTAGACTATACAGACACAAATATTCAAAGGTGATGTATGTCTTAATGGTGAATGTGGCCGTCAGAATACCGAACTCTGAAACTTACCTGTGAATACCCAATCATAAAACCACTTGGCTTCTGATACGCCGAATGTCGTAACTCGTGACACCTTACTTCGCCGAGAAGGCTGATAAGATGACCCTTGCCAATAAAGATTTGAAAACCCTCCTCAGCCGAGACTTGGATAGGTAACCAATCGGCCTCGACGCAGTGCTGTTTATCCAAACTGAAGATGCTCCTTGGTCGGCTGATTCTACGGCGATAGTGCTGTTTATCTAAACTGAAGATAATCGCCGGTCGACTTCACAGTGCTGTTTATCCAAACTGAAGATGTGTTGGTAGAAAAAGAAAAGGGAAAATCTCAAGGTGTTTGAGAGGTTTTGCGCAGGGCAATTGTATATTGAATTCAAGGTCCTTCTTTGTTGCATGATTTCTTGTATTTATAGCACCCACTCCTTGAGACCGAATCAAACCCCTATCTGGATTGGGAGTCCTTACCCCGTTCCACCTTTACTTCGAACAACCTTACTCCCATTAGGACTTTGAACTTACCCCTCTTCGAGGCTTTATTTCTTGCTGGTCGAGAATCCTAGTTGCACCAGGACTTCCTCGACCCTCTTTATTTATCTGGACTACTCCTTCTTATGATAGGACTCGACCGACCCTGCTAAATGGCCCAGAATCCATCAGGCAACCCATAGTATTTGACACAGCTTTGGGCCGAGCACAACCCTATGCTCGGCCCAACAATATTATTTCGAGCCTAAACATTGCCCCCTCGCTTCTGAGGTCACCGACTGTCAACCTTTGGTCAGATTTCAACCTTGAAGAAGCGGAACCATCTTTTGCTCTTTAGACTTCATTGTTCTTGATAACCATTACTATGCACATTTATGGGATATGGTTGCACTATCCTTGTTACTCCCGACGTACAGCCACGTGTCGACTCTCTGCCAATCCTACCAACTTTCAATCATGGCCCTCGAAAACGTGCACCCACTGAAGCGTCTCTTCCTCATTAATGCATTAAAACTGCCGCCGCACGCAATTGTGCGTCCTGGATCCTTGAAAACCCCGATCCTATCCTTGTAGGTTCCCAAAATATCTGAAATGATTGGGGCCATTTCCCGGTTAAATTTCCCCCCAATTCAAACTCTAGTGCTTTCGAATACCAAACGTTTGATCTTCTTTCTGAAACGTTTATAAATACCCAAATTTCTACCATTCATATCTCACGCTTTCAGAAATTTTTAAATCTTCCCTTCGCCATTCTTGCTCAAACTACGCCCTCAAGCTTATCTATTTGAAACCCCCTTTTTAAACCTACGCACTACTTTATTCCTTACCCATGGCCTCTTTCATCTCCAAGCTTTCCGACGAGTGCAATAAATGCAAGGACTTCATCGATCGGAGCGCCATCAAAACGCTACGCTTCAAAAATGACCTAGCCACCACTCACCAAATTCTGGGTCCACTATTCAAAGATGCAGTGTCGTTGTGCATCACCAACCTTCTCAAGGAACAGTGCTTAACACCCTTGCTGCAGGGGTTTGATTGGTCGAAATGGTGCCTGGCACGGCCCCAAGGAGCTTGGCCCTCGACTACTGCAGCCTGGGCTGCCTGGGTCGACCGAATGAGCGCATTCTTCGGCCAAGAGTGGAAAGCTCTCGGCATTTATGACGCCATCATGTTCTCGACCATGGAGATCACCATGGATAGAGAACTGCTCATAGCGGCCCTGAGTTTATGGTGTTCGGCTACCAACACCATGATCCTTCCTTTCGGCCCTCTCGGCCTTACCGTTCTTGATATCTCGGCTATCCTTGGGACTTCCCTGTCTGGTCTCCCAATTGATGCCGCCCTTTCTGGATGCCCCTCGTCTCTCGACCTAAAAGAGCTGTTCGACGAACGGGCTATCAAGACACTCAGCCGAGGCGATCGGGAGCTTTAGAAAGAAGAGGTTCAGAAGCTACACAAGAACTTCTTCAACTACAACACTCTTATCTTCCACTTCGCCGGCCGAGGTGAGGAGAGCCTTAGGAAGGGAGAACATGAAGCCTTCCTCTTCTATTGGTATAACAAATTCATTTGTTGTACCAGGTCGAACAAATGTTTGGTCAAGAATATGCCGGTGGCTCAGGCCCTAGCCAGCGATCACTCCTTGGCGCTCAGTCCAGCTATCCTCGCCAATCTCTTCCGTTGTTTGGCCGAGACGACCATCAACAAAATCGACCCGCACCAGAACGGACCCCTTTGGGTATTCCAACTCTGGCTGCAGGTTTACTTCTCCACACTTCGGCCCGAGGTCCCCGTTTTCCAGCGTACTGCAGCGCTTGGTCCCCAACTAGCCTCTCGACCGGCGCCTCCTCACTGGGCTGACGAAGTCCTCAAACACTTCTTTGGCCTAGACGTCCTCTCTAACGACGAGTTCCTGGTGTGCCGGCGTCAAGAATACCCCGCCTCGATCAGGCTTCCGGCGGCAGCGTGGGTCGAGACCGAAGATACTGATCTTCGTCAACATTGGGGGTCATTCATGCTGGCCTGCGACCTTCCCCTTAGTTGTGATGCCCGCCGAGCGAGCTGGGTGGTCTATCATCCCCATTTCATCGCCCGGCAGCTCGGCTATCTCTAAGGTTGCCCCGTACCCCTGCTTGCTTCTCGCTCCCTCCTAAGTTGAGGACGCATTTCTGGTTCCTTCGAGGGGGAGTGTAAGACGACGAAATAGGAGTTTCAGGACAAGTGCAAAAAATTTCAGCTTCGACCGACCGTTCCTGAATCTTTGGGTACCGACACCTTTGGGGACTAGTGGGACGAGTACACCCATGACTTCTTCGGCATCTCGACCGAAGATGTGGTAAGCAGAATCTTCGGCAACCGGCCCAGACACGCTTCTGCGGCCCAACCCAAGGAATCGGCCCAAGGTACATTGTCCTTTCGTCCTTTCGTCCTTTGTACTTCAATTACTTGCCCCCTGTTACTGATTACTTCGCTATCTCAGGTGGTCGTGTGTTGAGAAAGGCGGAGGTGGTCGCCGTGGCAGTGGCTAAGAAAAAATTGGTCCCCACGAAGAATACCGTTACCACCAGGCGGACATTATCAACCAAGCGCCCCCACAAAGACGCCAAGACAGGGGATGACGCTCCTCGCCCTTCCAAACGCGTCAAGAAGTTGGCGAAGAAAGGTGACCGGGAGATTAATGTTGTTCCTAGCGACACCACAGGGACAACTGCTCCTGCCAGCTCTCCTTCCATCCCGCCTGCCCCAGCTTCGACGGACCCCCTTCCTTTAGCCGTCCCCACGACTGGGGTTATGGCCTATCCGGCTGCTGTACCAGCTATAGCTTCGAAGCCGGCCATTGTGCTTGCCTTGGGGAAAATGGTCACACCCGTCGAGGCATCCCCTATTTAGCGACCGACGGTCATTCTGGAAGAGGTATGATTCCACCACTATCCTTTGTTTATTTAGCCTTCTAGTTGTGACAAAAGTTTCCTCAGGACGATGAGAGCGACTAGAGTGACGAGATCCCACTGGAGCGTCGCCTTCGACCAGCCAACTCTCCTCCCGTCCATCCTTCTTCTGTGGTCGAGGCAGCCGTCCAACCGGATCCCCCTACGGCGGATCGTGGGAAAAGGCCCTTGGCCGATCCTGAGGCGACGGCCGAAACGCCGTTCCATCCGCAAGATGAAGACCTCCCCATTCCTCCACAAGAAGTTTCCTCGGCCTTTGTAAGTCTTACTTCTTTTTGTTGATTTTATCATGACGCACGTGTTCTTAAAGAAATATTAAATGTCAGGTGCCCGAACGTTCATTTCACCGACAATTTTATGCGTCGACGGGCGTTGTCTATATTTCCTAGCCACCATCGTGGCCATCAAATATAGATAACCTCCATCGGCCGCGTGAATTGTGAAGCAGTCTTAAGCACTGGGCTCGGCCATTAAGTTCCCTGGGTTCGAGCAATGAACTAGAGGGCATGGCCGAAGTCTCCTCCCGGCAAGTCTAAAAACAATCCTTTTGTCATGCACTCCATGCATTTCACATCTTATTTTCCTTTACGAATTTTC